ATATATACTAATAAAATTAGATTTTGTACAAATTAGCTCACATATATTGCATTATGATCCTGTAAATTGTTAACAATGATGAATTCTTGAAAATCATGCCTTCTTATGAAGAATAGATCAAATTTCACCTGCCTTTGTTCCATTAAGAAATTGGAATGACTACATGATTATGTGACACTATTATTCCTCAAACCACAAAAATCTACTTGATTCAGTTGACAGGTGGTGGAGTTGCTTTTGCTTTTATTTACTTATTCAACCTTCGACCTATATGTTATGCCCTAAATTGAGTCCTATGAGAATTAGGACACGTGGAAACATCCTAAAAGAGTTATATCAAGATTAGATAGATTAAATTCTACTAGAATTAGAATACCTAAAACAACCAACCCAAGTAGAATTGTAATACTAGGATGATTTTCTGTAGTATCCTATAAATACCCCAATGTTAGATCTAAGAAGGGGATTATTTTTTCATTCTCTCTCTATTGTAAGCTTTTTCCTTTCTTGATCAATAAAGTACTTTGTTTCACACCATCATTTCTATTTTTTAGTGTTAACATTTGGTACCCACTGTGGGGTTGAGTTCTTTTTTATCTACAAATACCATATGGTGAATCTTGTCAATGAAAATTTGTTGTTGTTGTACATGGATGCTCCAAGTTTTGGAAATGATGGAGAAACTAGTGGTTTTTCTTCCTCTAAGATGAATTTCAGAGAGGTGCCAAACGGAGCAATTCCAAGAGATCCACCATTGGCATCACAAGTCATGAGGCTTGAGCAAGATATGGTAGATACAAGGCACAATTTGAGAGCAACCAAGCAAGCTGCAACTTCTTTGATGGATGCTATAAATATTTTAACACAATATAGGTTCAAGACAAGTGCATCAGAAACAAGAAGAGTCATGAAGGATTACATCGCCTTCAATTAGGTGGGCTCATAGCTTTTTTGGGAAACGTAGGATTCAATGCCAGAAAGTAGTGATTATGATGATTGAAGCTATGCGAATTCAAGACCAACAGAGCCTATTATTGATACAAGAATAGCTGCACCATGGATATATGGCATAACCTCTGTGCACAAACACCCAATAAATGGAAGCACGTAAGTTTTGTAATGATAATATATATAAAAATAAACGTGTAATATTAGTATATAGAAAGGTAAAGGCAATTTGATAAAGGAATCTAGGGGCTACATACACAACTTTGGTGGAAAAAGCTTTTGTTGAAGAAGTGATCAAAGAACCTATGCTATAACACTTCAAAGCTTTGCAATTGGCAAAATATTACAAAACACAGGATCTGGTGGAACATGTGCAAGTATTCGAGATGGCAATGACGGTCTACAGAGCTTATAAAATTCTTTTGCCGAAAAATCTTTGGCAACTTCAAATAGAGTTGTGTAGGCCTAGTCCACAACATTGTCAAATAGCTCGTTTACATAATGAAGCAGATTAGATTAAAAATTTAGATCAAGGAGTTACGATGCATAGATTCTACAATCTTTACATAACCAAGAGTCGACTAACTTTAATGATTTGTGCCAAAGTAGAAGGGTATGTCTGAGTAGAGGATAGATCTACAGGTAAAGAAGCATAAGAGAAAAAGCTACAAGGAGACCAAGCCTAATGGAAGAACATACATGTTGATTGTTGGAATTTCTAAAGCACTGTTGTTTGCATAACTCTATATCATTCAATAGAAAGTTGTGCAAGAATAAATTAACAACTTACCAGATAAGTTCCATATCTCTTTTACAATATTTAAATAATTATTTTCATATATTAATCAATTATGATCTTGAAAGCACTAACAATTTTCTCATGTCTCTAAAGTAATTAAGATAGAAAAATCTATATAGTTTGTTTCTACTTTGAACCTATGCAGAAGAAAACCTTAGATGATATAATACATAAATGATTAGCTATTGGAAATGAGTATTTGTTTGTAGCACTTTTTGATTTGAAGTCATGATGCACTTAATAAATAAACAGGCACTTGCAAGAGACGTATAGGGAAACATCTGTCACATGCAAGAATATACTAGATATCAAAATCTAGTACCTCAATTATGACGTGACTTAAATACCTATATAACATTATCATGATATGATAGACAGAAAAGCAAGCACTTTGTTAAAACAGGTGGAGAATATAACTACATCCATATTTGAAGAAGCTTTGTTATAATCACATTCAACCATAGCAAACAATGAAGACAAAGCGTCATCAAATTTTGCATTCGCAAGGCAAGAAAGACATCTCAAAATCCTACATGCACAAATCTTAAAAGAAAACTATAATCCCAGCAAAGTATATTTACTTTTCTAAATAATTTTCTAATTTTCAATTTTAATAATCATGCAAGTTCCTATGTTTCTAAGAAAACTAACCTTTTTCTTGAGAAACTTTTGGGAGAAGATCACATAGGCCAAAAGTTTTGAGCATAGGAATTTAATTATAGAATGCACAGGTCTAAGAAGAGCTATGAGACATAAAGTCACAAGTTAAAGCAAAATCCAATGCAAGAGCACCAAATTGCATATAACAAAAAAAATATATATAAATCTTGTGTAATGCCGCCAACTACATGAACCGCGAAGGAGGATTATTTGGAAAAGCTATGTCAATGTGCCATGCTTTTTTAATGCAATCATAAGGAGACCAAGCTTAAATGCTTTGCAAGCTATGGTTCCTACACAACATATGATGATGAAATTTCCCACACCAAAAGGAGTTAGAATGGTGATAAAAAAAATCCACAAAGCTGGTGATATTTTAAGAAGAAAAACATTAATTGTTGACATGATGGGCATGAGCGGAGAATTAAGGAGCAGCATACAAAACCTATTGATTGTATAAAACCTTTGATATTGGACTCAGAGAAACCTGAAAGGACAATGGATATCAAAACTAATATAGATCTTGAGTTTACCACATGTTTGGAAGGATGTTTGAAAGACTATAAAGAAGCGTTTGAATGGAGCATAATAGACATGCCTGGAATAGATTCCAAAGTTACGTGTCACAAGCTTGGGAGGACTCTAGAAGCTATGCTAGTTAGATAAAAGATGTGACAGTTTGATGCTAAGAGGACTATAACTATACCAAAAGAAGTGATGAAGCTAAAAGAAGCATTCTTTTAACTTTAATTGAAGTTGAGGAGGCATATTGCTATGTAGTAATGCCTCTTGTTTTAAAGAATGAAAGTTTTCATTATATGGCATAGCTAGAACATGAAGTTGAATCTGCAAAGTGCACATTTGGAGTGAAAGTTAGGAAATTCTTGGAGTACATGTTAAATAGCAGAGGAATCAAAGCTAACTCAAAAAAGGTGTGTAGACAAGGTATCACATCTTATGGGAAAAAATAGTAGCATTGAGCAAATTTTTATCAAATTTATCAAAGTCCGTGGAAAGGTGCTTTTACCTATCTTTAAAACTCTCAATAAAGGCACAAACTTTGAAAGGACATGTGATTGTCAAAATGTTTTTGACCAATTGAAGAGACAACACAGCTTTAGTCAGACAAGACACGAAGAAGTAAAGGCTTGAACACTTTGAAAGCAAGTTTTGTAGGGACCTGAGATAGGATACACATCTTTAAAAAAGCTAGCATATGCAATTATCATAACAACCAAGCAACTCCTGTATTATTTACAAAATTATAGTTTTAACTAATTATCCTTTGAGATGTGTTGCAGGAGCCAAACCTAACCAAAAGGTTAGTAAAATTTAGCGTTAAGCTCAGGGAGTTTGAGATAGAATTCCAATCTCGAAAAAGCTATGGAAACATAGGTTGTGGCAAATTTCTTAGTAGAACTGAGCAAGGAAGAAAAAGTTATGCTTAGCACACTTTTATCAATACCTCCAACAAAACAACAATCACAAAAGAAAGAAGAACAATTAGTGAAAATAAAACCCACTATGGACTTTTCATATAGATGGATCTTTTAGTGAAAATGAGAGCAGAGAAGAAATCATACTCACATCACTTGAAAGGGAAACATTCAGATACACATGAAAGTTTGTGTTAGAAGGATCAATAACAAAGTTGAATACAAAGCATTGCTTAGCAACCTCAAGCTAGTGAAAGCTGTGAGAGTAGAATATTTAAAGATATTCAATAATTCTTAATTGGTGGTAAGCCAAGTAAAGGGAGATTTCAATACTTAAAGAGAAAGCCATTGCAAAGGACTTATAATAAAACACATAGCTTTTGAAAATGATCATTGAATATAAACTCTACCATTTGAGAAGAGCTGAGAACTCAAAAGTTGATGCGTTAGCAAGACTTACTAGTTCCAAAGTTGTAGGATCAAGGCAAAAAGTGTACATCAAAGAATTGAATTCCTCTTCAATATCAGAAGAAGAGATCTTGGACATTGAAGAAGAACTGGGATGGATCAAAAAATATCTGTTCAATAGAGGTTTCTTTTAAGATAAAGAAGAAGGATAAAAGATGAAATGAAAAAGCTATGTGGTACATGATCATCAATGATCATCTTTATAAAAGATCATAAATGCAACTATTTCTTAGATGTTTAATGCTTAAGGAGGTAAAGAGCATGATGGACAAGCCCATGAGGGAGAATGCTTTAGTGATATAGCAACATACTATTTATTATATGAAATCCTTCGCCAAGGATATTTCTAGTCAATAATAAAGGTAGATGCGAAGGAATATGTTAAAAGATGTGATAAATGGTGGAGGTTTCCATGAACTCAACATCAACCATCAAATCCTTTGCATGTGAAGTTGTGGCCAAAACAACAAAAGAGGAAATCAAAGAATTTGAGAGAATACACATTAGATGCAGGTTTAGAGTACCAAAGATCCTTTTCACGTACCATGGAACTTAAATTGCTAGCAAAACTTTTAGAGACTTCTAACCGAGCATAGAATTTGGAAAGAAGAAGATCATGATCAAAGTGTAGCTTGAATATGAAGGAAAAACAATTGAATAAATTGAGCAAAGTGTGCTTCAATGGAGTCACCACAAACTAAGCTATATTGGAAAGTTTGAAGGAAAAAGTATGAAAAGCGAAAGGTGCATGGACAGAGGAATTATCTTACACCCTATGGTTAATAGAACTATTCATCACACACCTATAGGTGAAACTTTGTTCAAACTTGGATATTGCAAAAGATAGAGATTTTAGAAAAAAAAAATTCCAAAGAAGGAAAGCTATGCCTAAACTAACAAGATCCGTACCTCTACAAAGAAATGTTGAGAAATAGAGTTCTCAAGCCTAATCATCCCAATGGAACCTTAGTTCCAAGAACTTAAAATGTTGCACACCTTAAAAAGCAAAGATTCAATTTACATTGCTAGAAACCACTTCTATTAAGAATAAAATCTTGGCTGTACACATCTTTGCTTGCTTCTATGCAACATATAGCTTTAGCATCACTTTTAAGTGATCCAAAGCTTTAAACACCAGACACGGTGAAAAGAATAAGAACGCACGAAATTGTAGAGCTATTTTTAAAACTCTAAAATTTGGATGACATTAATTAACTCAAAATTTTGAGAAAAACTAACTATAATATGCTGAAGCGAACTAAAAGCTACAAGCAAGCTAAGACGTATATAAACACCTGGGCAAAAGCTATGTAGGCGAAGTTATGAAGGTTAATGTAATTCTCGAATATAAGAGAGACTTTGCAACATAAACCCATAGTAACCGATTGGGTTGTAAATTTGTGTCCTGGCCTATCTTTTATACGAGAGAATGGAAGGCATGACATATACTAAATAATCATTAAATTATGGATCCTTATTGATGAATGAGGATGCCTTCACCATACGAAACTATGATGGCCTATAAGACTGATAGAAAGCTATGCACAGTTTCAAGAATTATAATTTAGTTATCCTCGACTTTAAAATATCAACAAGCCAATAAACCAACCAAATACACAAGTTTTAGTATAGTTTTGGTGAAGAGTCACAATGTCAAGCATGACCAAAACTCGTGTTAAAAATAGAGCATCTGTTCAGCAAGTAAATGTTTTTAAAACACAAAATCAATGCACTGTAACATAAAAACGTAGATATAAGAATCAAAAGATCCAAAATTAACAAAACAAAAATAAAATAATAGGTAAAGAAACAAGAAACAGCACAACCCAAATGTTTTTCCAAAAATAAATGTTCCTATATGTAGGTTCAACAAGAGGTTTGAAAAGCTAAGCATTTAGAGAATGAGGGGTACCTTGAGAACCTTCGCATCCGTAGAACTACACATGTTATGAATAGCTATAGCAGAATCCTCTGCATACCAGAAGCTGCTCAATCTTTCCTTTACTTCAACCAGAGAGCTGCCCAGAGGAACATGTGCTGGACCTTCATCATAAACTTTCTTCAACTTTGGATCAACTTAAACCACCACAACAACATCCATACTCTCAAACTTGAAGATGCGATAAGCATAATCAACCTTTAGCAAGGAAGCAACATCTTGATTAGCTTGATAGCAAGGTTAAAGTAACCCAAACCATTGGAAACGGCAAAGGCCTTACCCTCAGAGGATTCCTTGAAAGACTGAATGATAGAAGAGGTAGAAACTTCCTAGGTAGAAACATGTGCTTTCAACCCAAAAACAAAACCCTTTAGGGTAGAATTGTTTAAAGCCAAGTCATCCAACCATTGCTAAAGGATAGAATTTGAAGATTCAAGGGACGCCTTTTCAACAGAAGTAGAGGAAGAGCTAAGCTCTTTTTCTTTTTTCAGTAAGGCATAACACTCTTGGAGCATAGATAATTCCTTCCCCAGTCGCTCAACTTCAATTGAAGATGACCCCAAAGCTACTTTCTTTTCAGCACTAATTTTCTCATAATTTAACTAGCAATAGGGATACCAAATCC